GCCACGTTGACTTACATTTGCTTGATAAGACTCTCCCCCGGTTGATTTTCAACGGGATCCATCACCGGACCTATGTTTTTCATTTTTTCCCAGGGGGCTTGAAATGAAATGCCTAGATAGCCAAGTTGCTGCTTTTCTCAGTCGCTGTTGCTGGTTTTTGGGTAAAGTGGATGGAAAAACGCGATCGCAACTGGCGATCCAGGTGGGAGTTTGGCATGGGGAGCCGCAGCCAGGGATTCCGCGAACTGGCCACACAAGTTGCTGGAGTTCAGGCCTGTCTTTTGAACATTTAATGGGATATTGCTCAGGCTGGAGACATTCATGTACCCTCCCTGTGACTAACATGGAAGTTGATGGATGGAGAAAGTCCTGCAACAGTTGGTGGTTCCAGGGTTTCATCCATCACCGGAGGATTTATCACTGGAAATTTTGGTGTCTCAGCCCAGATAGGCTCCGGGGTGGTCCGGAACGGCCCTGAGGTAAGGTTCCACGAGGGTTCCACGAGGGTTCCACCGCGGTTCCACCAGGGTTCCACAAGGGTTCCACGAGGGTTCCACGAGGTTCTGCGAGGGTGGTGCGAGCACTAAAAAGAGCACCGCATGCTGTTGGGGATCTCACCCGACCTTTTTTTTTCCCCAGGGCCTTGACATAGTCTATGGAAAAGTTTGGCGAGGGAAAGCCGCCGCCGAGGAGTGGAAGGCGCTGCCGGACCAGAGCTGCGGCGGCGCCCGCATCGACCGCTGGTCCGGCGGCGGGGATGCCAGGCCGGGAAGCGGGAACTGGGAAGGTCCGGGGGGGCAGGGGTTGGGTCTGCTGTCGGTTGTTTTTTTGGCCTACAAACGGTGGAAAAGGCAGGGGACATGTGGGGTCTAGTTCCTTCTCTTTTTTTTTTGAGTTGGTGCACCTTCTTTTTGTTGGTTGTTGAAGGAAAACCAGAAGGAGAACCACCATTCTGTGGGCCCTCTAACAATTTGACATACCCGCGTAGATCGGCCTAGCAAATTGGTGCTTGCAGGTTTAGTTTGTTGGAGCTGGTTTCAACAAAGGGTTAGCTGGAGTCTTGAAGACCTTCAAACAGGAGGGGGTTCCAAGGGCCAAACCAGAGAGGGATCCTTGTTTCTTGTGCTTCCGGTGGGTAGCAAGGTTCTTGACTACTCTTCGGTTCGACCGAAGTAACCTTTGAACCTCTTGGGACATGACCCTCCTAGCCTTTGACGCGTTGCCGTTTTGGTGGTTCTTCTTGCTTCATCGACCAAACGGATCCGTTGGGTCGGATCCGTTTGGCCAAGTGAAAACGATGAACCATCCGCAAGATCCTTCCAGATGGTTCCCTTGTAGTTGCGTCCCAGTACGGCCTAGGTTTAGTGGTGGTGTTCAGTTCACCCACTAAAAGCGTTCGACTTTTAGCAGGGGATCTGGCAGCCCAGAGTAGCCAGGGGCACGTTTCTTCCAAGGTCTAGGCTGCAGAGGGTTGGAGGAGCCACAATCAATACCGATTCGGGTAGATGACGGTTAGTAAGGGACAATCCCAACCATACATAGCTGCGACCGCCTTCTTAATTCTTTACACAATTCTGGGTAGAGAATTTCAATACTGGGTTTTGATTATGACTCTGAGAAGGTCTCGTGTTGTTGCTTCATAGGTTCTGTCCAAACGCCAGACAAAGGCTTTAGCCTGACTCGAGGCGAGACGCGTGACAACGGAGCCCGAAATCCATCTTGATCCACGTGAGGTTTGTTTGGAGATGTGTTGCCCATTAAGGGGTCTGGGGGCAGGGAGCCCAAATAAGCCCTTACTGAGACTTATTGAGGGCCGAAGAAGGGCTTATTTGGGCTCCACCCCCTCTCCCAGCCCCCATGAGCCTGTTGGGGATGATGCCCCTCGCCTCTTTGGCTTTCCTTCATCCCGTTCAACCCAGAACAAGTTCACGTTCAACCCGTCCCCAGCAACTCATTTTTGGTTCCCTAGCTAGTCCAAGAAAACTTGTTTTTTTTGACTCCTGACTGATCAATGTCCCGGTTCCATTTCTAAGTCAGCCCTTATAGTAGACCTGCTCAGATGCAGAGAAAGGGGTAAGATCAGGGGCTTGCCCTCCCTCCCCATAAAGTTTAGATATGTCTTTCTTTCTGGAGGACTCCCCAAAATGGCTTTGATTTCCCTTCTGGTTCCCCTCTAAAAACCCAAGCATGATGTTTGTTGTTGTTTTTTCTTCGGTTTGCGGCCTGTGCCTCGATGGATGCCGATTCCAGCGAGCCACCCGATTATGATCTATGACCTAAGGGAGCTACACACTCCATGTATGAAAGGGTTAACTTGCAGGAACATCTACTGGAAATGGCTCTCAGACACCCTAATTTAGCTGTTTTCCGGTATTTGAATGTAGGCAATATTTTCCCACATTGATCCTCCAAATGGGTCAACTGTTAGTAAATATCGCCTACGTGGGTTGTTTGGGGAGACGCTTGTTTTGGTTACAGGCATGGCCTTCCCCCCCCCCCCCAAACAAAAAGAAGACGAGTCACCCATATATGTAGGGGGTGATTCCCCATTCTTTTCAAGCATCGTTCCTTTCAAAAACCAGCTGTTTCCCTGGGTTTTTGATGGTTTCCTGAAAAGAAGGATCCCTGGAAAGAAGGGGGAAGGTAGCCCTGGAATATAGGGAGATCCCTTAGGTACGGTGAGCAGTACGTGGACAATCTGGTCGGGTGCAAGCTACTGTGCATGGCACGCCCCGAGTGCGCCGGCTTCGAGCTTCGAGCCGCGGCTGAATCCGCCTTCTCAAAATCAGAGTGTCAGCCCCCAAAGTGGTGGGTTTTCCTTTTGGTTTCACGTTTCCAGGCAACCAAAAGGAGAAACCCTCAAAAAAGGACAGACCCAAATGGGAGTAACTCAAAAATAAGGAGCTGGGGCAAACTGCGGGTTTTTTAGCCTTTGGTTCCACTTAGGTGCCATTTTAGTACAGGCTTCTGAGCCACAGCCATATTGGTATGTGTCCAAATAGGGATTTGGACCCCCAAACAATTGGTGTTTGGCGGTGTCCCTCTAAGCAGTGACCTCAATGGGCTTTGCCTTTGAGGTTGTCTCACTGGGCTCTGCTTGGTTGGGCTACCGTGGTTGGACGCCATGCGGAGAAAGGATTTATCACCTTTTGGTTGACTAGTACTGTGGATGGACGAAACCTAGTTTGCACCACCGTTCAGAAAGACCCTGGTGTGCAAATACCAACCAAGAATGGGTTTTCAGCATGGGATTCTTTCGGTGCGACATGGATTTTTTCGTCCAGCCACAAGCGGGGGCTTTGTTGCAAGAAGGAATCCTTGATTGTGTTTTTTTTTTTTTTTCCGGGAAAACCCACCCACCAGGAATCCAAGAGGATAAAATCCGGTTGTGATGGATAGCCACCTTCTCCCTTAGTGCGTCTTTCTTTGGGGATCTCGGTTTACTGTCATTTAGGTTAGGCCATGAAAAGCACCAGCGATTTGTGATTCTGACCATGTTACTAAACTTTCATGCCATCCTCATGGTCTTGGGCAAATGCTTCCTGCGTTTTCCCCAGCCTTTTTTTCCCTTGTGCCAGATTTTCCTGGGTAGATTGTCCTTGGTGACCATGTTGTTTCATTCTGCCCGAGCAGTTTTTCTTCCCCCCCACCCCCCAAACCCCCCCACCCCCACCCCAACCCCCCACCACCCCCACACCCCCACCCCCACCCCCCCGACCCCCACCCCCTCCCCCCTTCTCCCCGTTTTTTGAGGCGAGGACAGCAACCGCTGCTCCTTCTGGCAAGCGGGGCCTCTGGCGCCTGTGGCCTCCAAGGGCATCCATTGCTACCAAAAGCTCAGCGCCTCGGATCTCGCGCCCTTCGCGTCGTGTGTGGCGTGGCTCGGGAGCGTGCGGCTGGGGGCGTTGCTCGTCGGTTGGGTGGGCTTTAAAGGGAAGCCGAAAGGGGAGACGAGGGAGGCCATGGAGGTGAGGGTCTTTGGTTTGAAAGGGAGTCCCGAGAGGAGAACTGGAGCCGTTTTGGGGGGGTGCCATGGGTGGCCCCCGAAAAAAGGATTCAGCCAGTTGGTTCTCCAAAAATGGTCTCTAACTTGGAGTTGGTGGAAAAGAGGGCGCAAATTGGTGGAACGGTCTGACTGGGGATTGGACCCTAAACCGCCAAGATTGTGGCTTTCCTTTTGGTTTCGCTTGAAATCGAGCTGAAAAGTCATGTTTGGTCGAGGCCCCAAATATTTAGCGCGTGTCGCCATTCACCCACCCTACCTCCATAGCAAGGGGCGCCATTGCAGACTGATAGTGGCTATTAGTGACTAGTAGAGACCAATAAGGACATTTGGATCATGAACTTCTGATGGCTCTCCCAATAACTCAGACAGCCAAAGTTAGAGCATCCATCCCCACAAACTTGGTCAGGCGTTTGGCAGTGAGAGTATTCCATGTATGACCTCTGCCTGGCCCCCATAGTGCGGTAAGCTCATGGATTCCCGTAGGTTGGTGGAATAGCATTCAGCCTTCGAATTGGGTGAAAAGCCCTGCAATTGGCCGTTCTGGGTTTGTCTCACGCTCCAAAATCTGTGATGTCCCTTTGGTTTCTCTTTAAACAAACCTCGAAAAGGGTACCTTCAACAAACAGGCAATATCGGACCATATGGGTGTGACTTTTTGGGAGGGTAATTACCCTTGCTGGATGGTTTTAAAGGGGTCAATTCCAAACGGAAGACAGCAGCGCCATTTTTTGGCTCTAAAGGACGCCCACATCTGAACCCCTGAGACATGAACCACTTGCGACTCGGGCCCAAGAAACCAGCAGCTGTGTTTGATAGGCGGGGTGTGAGAAGCATGTAAGCGTCCGGTTTTTAACCGTGGGATCTACGCGGCATCTTTCTCCATTGGCTAGGGAAATAATGGGGCAGATCTCCATAGCCCATTCCTATTGGCCATGTTGGTCCTGGTGGTTCTACCTGGCGTCGTTTTCGGTCATGAGTATGGACCTTGATCGCCATTCTGGTAGAGCCATTTCGTTTTTTTTTTTTTTTTTTCACCTGGTGTCCTTCACACACCTTTATTTTATAAACTTCTAAAAGCCTAACCTAAAACAGCTCCTTCGTAAACCTGCGAAAACCTGTTTAAGTCAATATCTAGGTCCCCCAGTAGTGCTCTTTCTCACCCTTTTTTGGGGAGGGTTCCACGACTAAAATAGACTACAGAAGAAAAATACGGGTACCCTTGTTTGAACCTCTCAAATCTGGAGGACCTAGTGTGCTATGGTCAAAACACCCCTCAGGTAGGGCTGGGGCGATTAGACCCCTTTCGCGCAGGACAAAATATCCAATCTGTGGTCCTTTTTGGAGGGACCAGGTGGACTCAAAATTTCGCTCAGAAACCAGAAGGCTCTGAATTGACCCCAATCCCCCCCCCCCTCCCCCCGGCCCTGTTCCAGGTCTAGACTTCGTTGGCTTCGGCGTCGCTTCGCTTCGTGTCGTTGCGGCCTCGCTCGGCGGAAAAACTCCGAGGCCTGGCCAGCCCCAAGGCGGGGGTGAGGAGCACTCACGGGGAGGTGGTGGTGCCGGCCGGCGGAGTGGCCTCCATGAGCCCCGCGGCGTGCAGCGGGGGTCGCCTTTTTGAACGGTTCTTGGAGCACGTGTTGTTTTTTGTTTTGGTGTTTTCAGTTGTTTTTCTTCTTTTCTATTTTCCCTTTTTGTTTCTTCCTTTGTGTTCCTTCTTTTTTTTCTCCTCTCCGTTTTGGGTTCCGTTTTTGGTTGTTGTTTTTTGAGTGTTTTCAGGTTGTTTGGTTTTGCTGCTTGGTTTTCGGTTGTTTGTTTGGGTTCTTTTCACGTTTTTTTTTTTTTACACACAACTGTGTTTAGGTTTGTTTTCTGCTCATTGGGTTTAGGTTCTGTTCATTTTTGGTGGGCTGCAAAAACCAGGTTTTGACCGTTTGACCTTTTGGTTTCATGAGCCTCAGAACCTTCACATTCGGAAGGTTCAGATTCTGAAGCTCCAGAACTCCCAGAGGTTGATTCCGATTCCCGATCGGGTTTCCGGAGGTTTAGAAAGATTCGGATCCCTGGAAAGAATGGAAAAGGTACCCCTAGAGTTTCGGGCAACCTTCAGAAACCTTTACAAACTCGCCGGAAGCCGGAAATTCTTCTTCAAAGCCTTTGGTTTCTCCTGTTTGGTCCATTTTGGGAAAAGGTGAACCTTTGGCGGTTGGGTGAAAGTAGATGGCGCAATTCAATTCCAAGCCCATTTTGGTTTAATCATCCCCTTTGCATAGCCCATCTGCCCGCATCCTGGCGCACTTTATACGCTGGAGTTCCATTTGAAGCGAGATCAAACATCACTTGTTGGATCAATTTGAGGCTTTGTTTGCTTTGTTTTGGGGGGGGGGATTCCTGTTCTACTGGGTTCCAAGGTAACATTCTGAGTTCTCAACTGTCGTTCGGCAGGCGCCAGATGGCTTATCCCTGGCCCCATGATTTTGCCAATTCTCAAAGTCACTAGAAGTGGTGGGTTGCAGGGATACAACCTACCAACTTCTGACGTTGATAACCCCTAGAATTCTAGTCAAACTCATGACAGGATCCCTGCCCTCCAGCGCCTATACTTTTGCCTATGGCAATGGCAAGCTCACCTGGGGGGGGGGGGGAAAACGCGAGCTCACCGTGATGTAGCTCATGTACTCGGGACCGCTTGTTTCAGGTTTCGAAATCAGAATACTTGCTGATCTTTCTGGAGAGCAGCGTGCAGGCTTAGGATATGTTTCTCCCTGAGCAAATCTATTACTTCCCTTAGAATTACTTAGTCTCCAACCACCGAACACACCACCCAACACAAGATCCTATTTTGGAGGAGACCAGGGCTTGTGATGTCGCGTGGCTTCAAGACACGGCCTCCACACAAGCGGTTTTGTCAGTCAGCTATCAGCTCTTAGGTGCCAGAAGATGGCATGCTTGATGGGCAGCCTCTGCAACTAGATGGGTTATGTTTGTCGGGTTATGTTCTTTGGCCGGGAGAGGAGCTAGCAGGATTATTTATGTCTTCCCTTCTTGTTCATCTTGAAACAACCAACTTCCTTTCATTCATGGTTGTTCTGTCGTTCTTAACTTGCTTCCCGTTCTTGTCTTCCTTCTGGTTGTCTGCAACTTCAAGCACGTCATTGGAGCTTGCTGATGCCCCATTGGACCGTAGCTTGCCAAGAGGGTACGATTCATGCATCTCCTTGGAGCAGATGCTCTCCCACCAAACAACATGGAACCTGACCTTTGGTCCCTTGAAAAGGAAGATGGTCCAAGCCAGGACCCCCTTGTCATCATCTGAGCCACAATCAAACCTGGGTAGATGAAGGTTAGGAAGGGGCAGTCCCAGCCGGAAATAGTTGCGGCCGCCTTTCTATTTCTTTACATGGTTCTGGGTTCGCCATTTTTGTACCAGGTTTTGATTGTGACTCATCTGGCGTCCGCATCAGGTTCAAGCCTCGACACTACGATGCCCAGCTTGTGTGCCTTGGAATGGTTGGAAGTCCATGGAAAATGAAGAGCTCACGGATCCCGGTTTTTTTTGTTCTTTTCTTTCTCACTGCGAGCTCACCCAGATGTAGGTTCTTTACTGGGAAGTCCGCGGTTTTATCTTATCTTGAAAATATGCAGATGGTGTGGTTTCCACACCCCGAATCGCTACCCCTAGGGCAAACTGAGAAAAGCAAGCCCTTTATATTTTGTTAATGTTGAAACGCATGTGGAAACATGAACTGTGTTTGAAATGCTTGACCATAATGGCCCCGGCCATTTTGGCTCAAGCTTTGTTCTTGGGTTCTCTGAACCCAACTTGTGTGAAAAAATTGAAAGGTAGCACTTCCGAACTAACCCCGAACCAGCAATGGCCTCCTCGGCAACTTCGGCAACTTCCTTCGAGTTGATTGAGGACCAGACACTCACCGCGGAGGAGGTGGAAATGGCCAGCCAGGAGGCCCAGGAAGTCCGCACACGCGAGGCGGCTGTGGCGGCCGGCCTGGTGTTGGATGAGCCCGAGGCGCCCCCGTCGGCATCGGCCACCGATGTGATGAACGACCTCTCCAGTGCACTGGAGCGGCTCCGTGTGGCCTTCTCCACACCGACTCCCGGCCTGGGTGCCCCTGGCCCCGCCGAGGACGAGGACAAGGAGATGGGCGATGCGGTCACCACGGAGCGGGCTACTCCACCAACGAAGAGGCTGAAGGGCTTCGTGGCGGCCTCCCAGAAGACCACGGCCCCGGTGAACAAACCGGTCTCCCTGGTGCCGGTGGATGGCCGTCCTGGCTATTTCAAGCTAGTTGACCTCCCAGACCTCTTCCCGGTCCTTCCGGCATCGGCGGCCACGTTGCTGAGGGACGTCACGGTGGAGGAGGCGGTCTCTCTGTTCCACAAGTTTGTCGGGAAGAATCTCACGGAGGACTTGGTGGTTCGCATCCTGGAGGCTTATGTTCCGATGAAGATCCAGATCCGGCAAGAGGAGGTCTGGGCCTCACAGTTCCAGCGGAATAAGGCATGCATTGGCACCCAGCGGATGCACAGACTCGATGCCGGCCACTCGGACTACAAATTCATGTGTAAGGCATGCGGCACGGGGTGGCCGGAGGCAGCCAATCAATGCTGGGTCTGCCCGGGCAAGGAGTTTGTCCCCTTCCAGGCACCCTCGGCTACCTACGAGGCGGACGGCGTCACGTACAACCTGCTCATTGTGGAGGGCAAGCCGACCTGGATCCAGCAGCGGGATGGGGGAAGCCTGGGTGCCGCTGGCCCCGGTGGTACCCGGGCACAGGCAGACCGCAACCTGGTGGACGGCACGATCCTGGGGAGAGCTCCTCCGAAAACGGACACGGCCGAGGAGATCACTATGGCTGACGTGGTCCCGCTTAACAGGCGGGTGGACATCCGGCAGGAGATCCTGTCCATGGAGGCGGACGACGAGGCGTTGAAGGTCCGGGAGCGCCAGGAGGTCAAGGTCAAGGTGCAGCGGTCCCTGCAGGAGGCAGAGGCTCAGAGCTTCCAGCTCTACCACCCCCAGGTGGACCAGGCGATCCGGAAAAAGGAAGAGCTGCATAAGGCCTTGAGGGAGCACCGGGAACCGACCCCGGAGGAGTCCTCGGCCAGGCGGCGGCACAAGGAGTTGGTCACGGATGAGATGTTGGACAATGAGATGGCAATCCTGGCGCCTCTCCAGGAGGGCATGCAGGCCCTGCCGGCAGAGGAGGTGGCCAACGAGGGAGCCCGGGCCCTCAGGAAGGTCAACCTGGAGCGATTCAAGGCCAAGCTGCGAGACCAGTACCTGGAGGGAAAGGGTGTCGACGCCAGCCAGGCACTGGCTGATGCGATGGGCTCCATTCAGGAGGCGCAGGAGGCGAACAAGCGCACCCAGGACACCAACCAGGCATGGATGCTTAACCAGCCACTGGAGGTGTCGGCATGGCCAGATGATCTCAGGCAGGCCCTGGAGAGGGGGCTGTTCTGCCCCCTGGAGCTGGATGACCCTGAAGACATCCCCAACGTGGGGGACATCAAGGAGAAGTACGTCCCATACATCCGGAGGCTCAGAGAGGCGCAGAACCCGTGGAACCAGGAGGCGTTGCTGGAGGAGATGCCCGATCTGGCGACACCGGCCCCCCGCAAGGGTGCCACTGGCCCTGGGGGGGACCAGTCAGGGCCACCGCAGGACCTGGACTCGGAGGAGGGTAAGCTGTCCCTGCTCCTCTGGGCGATGAAGAGGCACCAAGGGGAGCTACGGATGTTTGGGGGGATCTGGAAGAAGCGCTCCAGCGGTGAGATCCCCAAGGGCGCGGACCAGCAATTCAAGCTCTCGCCGGAGGAGCTCCTGGCCCTGGAGCGCAGGACCCACCCACTCACGTGTGAGCGGGACCACATCGACCCGATCATCTACTCGGCCCTGGAGATCCGAGCGCAGGTTAACCGGGGTGAGCGCCCGGCGCCGGAGCAGGTGGTGGGGATCTTCTGGGCTAAGGGCGATGGCGTGTTTTGGACAAGGCAGACTCGCACGTGGGACCTGCCGAGCTTGACAGGGGTGTACGCCCATCGCTTCACCTTCAAGTACATCTACTCGGCTTGGACCACATTCCCGCTGGTCGTGAAGACGCAGCGACGGGGCCGCAATGCGGAGGGCTCGACTTCGGATAAGTGGATGGGGAACATCCTCCAGATGCGGAAGGAGGCGGTCCCCTTCCTGTAAAGCCTGGGAATCCCCAAGCCGCGCAGCAAGGCGGAATGGAGCTACATCTTTAAGGAGATGGGGACGTTTCTGGCAGCCAAGAACTTCATCGTCAATTGCCCATTGCCGGTGATGGAGCTCCCAGTGGCCCCCGTCCACGACAGCAAGGAGGCCCTGCGTTTCAGGGCGGTCTGTGACAAGCGAATCACACTTCCGCTGTCATCGTTGAGGGCTTTTGACTCGGTGTACACCAAACTGGTGGCGGGCCTGAGTAAGTCCTCCATGGTGGAGATCAAGGTCAACTGGCGTTGCAACGTGGTCCATGACTGGTCCCGCAGGAGGCGGCGGGGGCCCTGTACGACCGGCTGGGCTACTCCCAGGACCTGATCAGGCAGCTGGGCTGCTCCCCCCTTGGGTGCCTCTGGCCCCGGGGGCGGGGCGGCCAAGGAATCGGACCCCAAGGCCAAGATTCTGGCGGGAGCGGACACCACGCTCCGCACGCCGGACCAGGGTAGGCGGTACCCCCCGATCACCACGTCCACGGTCACGGCGGTCGCGGGCCGGAAGTACATCAACAAGCACTTCCCGAATGGAACCAAGCGCGTGTTCTGGGCCTCGGTGGAGTGCGGCCTGGTCCTGCCCAGCATCAGCGCATGGGAAGTGGTGGGCAAAGAGAAGTTCAAGACCACCGGGGGCTACATGTGCAGGTTCTGCAAGGGCTTCTGGAAGGCGAGCCGTGGGGGGACCAGGCTGCTCCAGATTACGGGCTGGCACAAGGACAAGGCCACATGCCTGCAGCTGGTGATGGACGAGCCCCCGGAGCAACTCTATAACCAGTGGATCCGGGACAGGATGGAGTTCTACAAGCGGGTGGAGCCGACGGAGCCCCCCACAAACGAGAGGCTAGTCCTTGGAGATGCGAGCACCCCGCGCATGCGCTTCAGCTCCTCGAATGGCCTGGGGGATGTCTCCACTGCCCTGTGGTCGGTCATCCTGAGCAACCCAGAGAAGTCAGGGCTGGCGGCCATCCACTCGGTGGCAAAGGAGGCGATCTTGAAGGGTGAGAGCCGCTAGGTCGTGTCTCACTACCCTTTTGGAGGTGGAGTCGTATGATCTCTCCCCACCGGGACTTGGGTGCCTCTGGCCCCGTCTTGGGTGGGGGGGAGGTGTTGGGGTGTTTCCCTTGTTTTGGGTTCATCATTCACCTTGGTTTCCCCCCTGTTCAACACGCCACGACTGCCGGTTTGCCTCGAGCCGGAGGCTGCGCAATTTGGCTGCCCCAAGGACGGGCCGTATCGGCCGCTGTTTGAAGAAAGTGGCTGCGGCTGACGCTGGGCTCCCTGAGGTCCCCTTGGGGGTTTTGGGGAATCCCCCGTCGGGTGGGTCTTCCCCCCTCCGTGGTTCTTCTGGGGCTTTCCGGGGGGGACTCTTTGGGCTTGGTGGGCTGCATGCCGCCTGCCTGCCCCACGCGCACTCGGCATCAGGGCTCGAACCCTTGTTTTCAGCATGGCTAGGGTCTCTACACAGTTTCTGTTGCGCCCGCCTTACACTCGTCTTTGGGACCGCATCCCAAGGGTCCTGTGGGACACGCTGGCGGATGAGTCTATCTCCCCGAGACAGACAGACGGGGAGTTGCTGGTCCTGATGTGCCTGCGCCATGGCACGGCGGAGGAAGGGAGGCAGCTGGGCGGGGAGCCGGCTCTCCGCTTCGCTCAGCTCCTGGAGCTAGCGGGCGTTCCGGTGGGCCAGGCTGACCAAGTGGTACCAACGGACTACTTCAACGGCCTGGTGGCGTCGGCGGCGGGCAGGCTTCCCCAGCCTTTGTCCGCGGGGGACCTGGCCGACCTTTGGGATAGCCTATGGCTCCTCCTCATGGCGGCTGCGGACGGCAAGCTCAGCGAGAACTTTTCCCCGCTGGAGAATGAGTTGGACCGCCAGGACCAACTGAGGTGGTTCTCGCGAGATGACCCACCCCCACTCCAACAGCCGGAGCTTCTGAAGTGGCGGCACTGGAGGCCCGGGAAGATCAGGGAAATGGAACCCACGACTCAGCGAGCACTGGAACTCCATATGCGCGGGAAATGGGCGGAACGGCTCCTTGCCCACTTCGCCCCCTTTGCGGAGCACATCGCATACATGCAGGACATCCTGGGGGAGGACTTCCGCAAGGAAGCACTGGACCTCTTGGGGGATAGCAGGTTCCGGACGCTCAGGCAACACTGCCTGGTCTACGAGAGTCTCCGCAAGAGAGGCTTCACCGTCATCCCATGGCAGGAACGACATGTCCGTTCTCTCCTCAAC